ACTTAGGTTACGCATTGCCTATATCTCCCAGGTGAAATTTACATCAGGGGAAGGATAAACATGCCTAATCCAAAGGAACAGCTGCCAAATCTCTGTTCTTTTCTCCCCTTCTTCCTCCCTGCCAGAAATCACATAGCCATGCAATGAAAAGGAAAGGGAGTTAAAGGCTGGGGAGTGGGGAGAAGGGGGGTGTTACAGCTCCTTGGACTTGCCGTATTCACCTTTCGTGAACTCTGGGAAACCACCCCATCACTACTGTCCCTCCCCAGGGTCTTGACTTCAAACCAGTGCACTTCCCTTCCTTTCCTTCCAGCAAACAGGAGCCAAATTTGAAGAAGAGATCATTTCACTGACAGAGTAAACTACTTAGCAAGCTCCTGCTCTTCTTCCCTGGTCCATCATCATCCAAAGCCCAGCTTTCCTGATTTCCACTGTCTTCCCTACCTCTGCACTTGGATGTCCAGGAAGCAATAGTCCCCTCCCATCCTGCCAGGTTAGGTGCCATTCAATGCTCACTAGACAGACTTCTGCAGCTCTTAGAAAGCCAAACAACCAAGACGTGAAAAAAGCCCTTAGAAAGCCGAAAGACCAAAACGCCTCTCTTACAGAGAAAGTAAGAGAGGGAAACACCTACCCTGGTGATGATTAAAGGTTGATTAAAATCTATCCCTCCCGAAAGCCTGAATCCCCAGGGCGCAGGGCCTGGGAGAATGACATTCTGTGGCATGTTGTCCTTTCGTTTGGGCTCCCACGAGTGGCACCTTTCCTGTCCCCCCAATGGACAGGGATGGTGTAGAGGAAGGTCCTGCTAACAGCACCTCTTCCCCAAAGGACAGCTAACTCTTTTAGTCTTGAAATAGTTTTCCTTCTCGTCCCACAGTGGCAGCCTTGCAGTCTCTCCACTTTATTCCTGTTAGGGAGTGACGTCACAAGCCCTACTCCCTCCACTCCCCCCTACACCCCCGGAAAGGAGAGCTCCAACTTTGGTAGTAAGAGAAAGTCTGGACGCCAGGGAGTTTACAAGAAATGCATTTGCTCCGTGCACACTGCCTCTGCCCATTCCTGGGCACAGAAAGGAGGAGGCTTCAGGTTACAACTTCCTATGACTTTCTTAAAGCAACACCTGGTCCCTTGTTGTTTTTCCTTGTTTACCTCCTCGTTTGATACACTGCTAGGTACTTTAGGCATGAGCAAAGGTAGGAAGGGCTGCGTGCACACCCTGGAGAACTTTATGTGAAAGACATTGTAATTAGAATGTGTTATTGCCAACAACTCTGTCTGTGTGTTTATCTATCTATATGAGATGTATATATTATATATAATATATGTATGTGTGATATACACATATGTGTATATTGATATAATATATGTCTATATGTGTATGATATACATATATGTATAATGGATATTTCATCATAGAGGACTCCTGGGTAGGGAATACCCTCTATTCATGCCAATTGATAACTGCTTAGCAATTTAGTTTTAGAGAATTGCCTGGGCAATTGAGATGTTGAGTGACTTGCTTTGAATCATACACACATATACACTGATTGGTATATATGTATGTGTGTATATACACACACACACACACACACACACACACACACACACATATATATCTATATATGCTGATATAGCTAACGATGTTTGTATTTCTATTGCTCTATCAGTATATATCAGAGAAACCCATGTCTCTCTGGCTCTAAGGCTAGCTCTCTATTCACCATAATGTTGTATCTCTCACTTTGTCTCTCTCTTCCTTTCTATCTCTTCTTTCTCTTTCTGCTTCTCTCTCTGCTATTATTCCTCTTTCTGGGTTTGTCTCTGCTCTTCTCTCTCTCTCTTTCTTTCTCTCTCCATACACACACACAAACACACACACAAAGTCAAGAAAGATTTATTAAATGCCAACCGCATGCCAGGCATTGTAATAAACACTGGGGATACAAAGAAAGGCAAACGACAGTCCCTGATCTCAAGGAGCTCACACATGCACACGTGTGGTGCGTGTATGTGTCTGTGTGTATAGGTAGGGTGTTCCAAAGTTATTAAGCCTTAAAGCTGCACTAAGACTTTTGAGACACTCTGGTAGCCTCCATGATTCTTGTCCTTTATTAATATATGAATACATATACACACAAGGACATAATAGTGAAATGTGACAGAGATGACACACCACCAAGAGCTGTGTTTTGAGTGAACAATATCAATGCTCTATTGATAGCTTTCTTTTAGAGGCTTCTGAGTGAAGTGTTAAGACATTAGTCACTGGTTAGAGAATAGACCATAAGATCATAGGCTTAAAGTTGGAAGGGACCTTTGGAGTCATCTAATCCAAGCCCTTCCATGTGAGGGAATGGAGGACCAGAACGGTTATGTAATACAAATAAGAAGTAGGTTTTGAAGCCAGGATATATGTCCTGTAGTCTGTTTATTCAGAACCTTTTATTCTCTCCCAGAGAAGAATTGTGAAATTTAATTTTCTCATTCTTAAAAATAATGGGTTTACGTTATGTAGAGCAATTTGGAACTATGCCCAAATGTTTATAACAGCTCTTTTCTGATGGCAAAGAATTGGAAATAGAGGGGATGCCTATCAATTGGGGAATGGCTGAAAAAATTTGTAGTATATGATTGTGATGGAATACTATTATGATATAGGAAATGATGAGCTGGGTGCTTTCAGAAAAAACTGAAGAAACTTACTTGAACTGATACAAAGTGAAATGAGTAGAACCAGAAGATTGTACACAGTAACAGCAATATGGTAAGATGATCAACTGTGAATGACTTCATTATTCTCAATAATACAGTCATCCAAGACAACTCTGAAAGACTTATGAAAAATGCTGTCCATCCAAAGAGAAAGAACTGATGCAGTCTAGATATAGATCAAAGCATTAAAAATGAGTTTGAAGTGGTCTCTGAACAATGAAAAGAGAGGTTGTTTCCATAATCAGGGAAGAATTACATTCTCTGTGCAGAATATGGCTGCTGGGTGAAAATATGGGGTTGAAGGTAGATGGAGAAAGTGAGAGGGTGTGCAGATGATGGGGACAAGGTAAAAGGAAAGAGGAGACTTACTATGTAGACATTACTAGGAAGTCCAGGGTGGTTTGGTGGAGGGGGATACCACGTGGATCATTTCTGTATCCCCAGATGATTACAGAAAACTGAAAGAGCATGATAGATTAGAAATAATTCTGGACTTAGAATTTGGAGACCTAAGTTTACATCTCATCACCAACACTTTCTATGTGACTACTTTACCTCTATGATCCTCAGTTTTCTCATCTATAAAATGGGGAGGGGGGTAAGCATATTTACATTATCTACCTCCAACATCATTGAAAGAAATGTACTTTGTAAACCTTAAAGCATTATATAAATGTGAGTTGCTGTTTTTGTCCTGTGATTTTTTGCATCCCCAGAAATGCCACTGTCCTGAGTACCCTTTGGATCATAGGCTTATACATTAAAAGGTTCAATGGGACCTGAGAGATTGTCTAGTCAAACCTTTTCATTTTACTAATCAAGGAACTGAGTGAGGTTCAGAGAGGAATTGACTTTCCCAAGGTCACATGGTTAGTAAGTGGTAGAGCTGGGATTCAAACCCAGGTCCTTTAACCCTAAATTGTGCATTCTTTCTACTGTTCTAACCATGCCCCTCTATTACTTGTAGGGCCTGGTAGGAATGGGATTAGACTTTGTAGGGTGGCTGGAATAATTTCTCCCTACCCTTCCCTCTTCCATTTAAATAATTGGTGAAAATAATGTGTGATGAAGTTGGTGGTAGTAGAGAGAGAATACACACACACACACACACACACATACATGCACACACCCACGCACACACATGCACACACCCACGCACACACATAGTAATCAGAGAGCAGAGAACTTAGGAGACATTCTTGCCCTCATTGGAGACATTAGTTGATCAATAAAGTTTATTAAGTGTTATGTGACAGTCACTGGAGATAACAATACAAAAAAAAGGACCATCCCTGAGCTCATATAGCATGCTTTACCTAGTCTTCCTTCCTGCCTTCCTTCTTCTTTCCTTCCTGCCTGCCTGCCTTCCTTCCTTCCTTCTGCACCCATTGCACCTTCTTTCCTTTTCTTCCTAGTGTACCTATTGTACCTAGTGTATCTTCTTTCCTTCCTTCCTTCCTTAGCTCTTTGGTAGGTACTATGGATATGAAGATGCAAAAATAATAGTTCCTGTCCTCAAGGAGCTTACATTCTAGTAACAGAGATAAAGTACAAGTTGGATACAAGGAAGGGATGTAAACATGTAAATATTATAGAGACAAAGAAAAAATCCAAAGAAACTCCAGAAAAATTTGATGAGAGAGAGATTACTTCTAGTTTGGGGAATCATATGAAAGGGATACCATTTAAGCTGCACCTTAAAAAAAGATTTCAATTGGCTGAGATACAGGAGTATATTTATTTCAGTACTGCATGAATGGACAGAGACCAGGGAAGTGCTTCCCCACTTTCTCCTTGAAGCCTTTCATGACAATTCCAACCTATTTGGATGCTCCTTAGTACGTGTATGACCTTGAATCATTTAACTTCTCCAACCCCAGTTCTTCATTTGTAGAGTGTGAGACTTAGACATAGTACATGTCCTCTAAGCCCCTTTCCACTTCTAAACCTAGGATCCTTTCCCTGGATTCCTATATTTTTTGTCATTACCACACATCACCACAGTTTAACAGTGGTGTTATTTTTATCTCACCAATCAGATTATAAGCTCTTTGAAGCTTAGGAACATGCCTTGAACAGCTGTTGTTTTTTACACAGCACCTAGTGTAGTTCTGAGTGCATCAGTTGATATGGGATATATTGTAACAACGCCATCTTTTGATTTTAGGCAAATGTTAGTTACTTCCTTTTGATTTCTTCACTAAGCCAATCAAGAAGGATGCTTTTTGACAATTGCTATCATGTACATCCCCTTCATCTTATCATTTCCTCATTTCATGTTGTAGGTGCTGTTCTGTATGGTCCTCCTGCAAATGTGCACCATATTGGATACTTCCTGGGCAGGTATCCATCCAGTTCTACTGAACCCTTCCAGGCACTGGGTTTTGACCCCCTCTTGGGTAAGAGCTAAGTTTATTGTCTCTAGAGGCCATGGGATTTTCAAGCTTTGGTTGATTTGGTTGTGGCAGAAGCTTTGCTGAGGAATTACCTATATAACATTCCTTTTCTTGTGTCTGCCCTTTGTGCCAGCACAGCGAACTATGCTATTTCATTCCCAAAGTTATTGTCTTTGAACCTGATGAGAACATACAGATCAAACTCACTTGTATGTTTCTCTTCTGGTTCATCTTGGAATTTTTCATGTGAATCGAAATGACTGGTATTATGGGTGAGAGTATATTGGGTTCAAATAGGACCTCCTTCTAAAGTACCTCTCTGCTGCTGTGGAAAACCAATGTTGTTTTGGTCATTTGCGGAATTGAAAGGGGAGAAACATATCATTTTACAGCATTCTGTGGGAGCACTCTACCTTTTCTAAAAATGAGAATAGCATCATCCTGGCTATTCCTTGGGGGTTAAACAAATTTCCATTTGCCTCACATAATATTTTTCTTTGCAAACGTTCCCGGGACTACAATACGCTTTCCCACTTCAGCGAATATACTTGGGGCTGTTCTGTCTCTGCAGAAATGGCTTTTGCTTGAGCTTTGGGTTGGATTGATGTTTGTATCTTGCTATTATTAGCAGGTCTACAAAGGCTCTTCTTTATTTCCTGTTGGCCGTCTGTCTTTGCTCCTTTTGCCCTACAAAAGTGAACCTGATTAGGAGGCACATTTGGTGGCATTCATTGCTGCCCCCTTTACCTCCAGAAGAGTTCTTTACTGCCTTGCTGTACTTCACAGAAGGGGCTTGGAAAAGGTAGTAACAGCTTCTTTTTTGTTTCTAGTGCATTGCGTACTACCCAAACTGGTTCCAGACATTCCACTCTGGGGCTCATTTCCTTCTTTACCTCCTCCCCAGGGACCATACAAGTAAGAAAGAGCTTCATCTCAAACTAGAAGCAAACTAGCCTACACTAGAGTGGATCCCAAGGTGCAGAATCCAGGGAAGGTAGCCATTTCCCCCCTCAATTTGGCCAACTGTAAACTTCTTCCCAGCTTCTCCTAGTTCCTGACAGTGAGATTCAAACAGATTCCAGCTCTGATCACTACTCTTTCAGGGAATATCAAGATGAGAACCTAACTCTAAAGCCCTGACCACAGTGCACTGGTTCCGTGAAAGTAATACTGACATACAAATGAACAGGACTGCTAGAGATACTAGGATATTATTATAATTGAAAGGTTCTGGTTTGGAAGGATTGTAGCTCACATAGTTCTGTGAATGTTTCTCTTGAGGAAATCACTGCCTTTCTTAATGATAACTTGCCCTGAGAGAATGGAGAAAAGTTACAAGTCAGATCACCAGCATCAGGTCTTGCCAGTTGCTGGGCTATTTGAATCCTCTGCCATCAGGATTATACCAATTGTAGCTTCTTCCCTTTTCCTGATCATCAGGCATATCTTTCCTGTCCTCCACGTCAGTGTTTTGACTATTTTGCTGTGTATCATACCCAAGGAATGGGACTTTCCCTGAGCTCATGCAGTTTTTCTTTTGTTTTGTTTTGTTTGGTAGCTAGCTCCATTGTCCATCATTGTGTGAACGTCATGGTTTTCTTTAAATAGCTGTGATTTTGTTTCTCTGTTCCAACATCCTTAAGTCTGCACTGGGGCACAGCCATGCTGTGCCGACATATGATATCTAAGATAGCATCTATATGTGCATAGTTAATTAGGACTGATTCAATTGTTGAGAGCAGTGTTTATAATCTCTAGAGCCCATGTGAATTTCTTATTTTGATAGACTAGTTTCTGCTTATAGCTTTTCTCATGGAACTAGTCACATTGAATTCCATGATTTGTGTTTGCCAGATAATGCTTATCTACTTAACTCTGCTAGTCTTACTGAGCCATGGGCAACAGGAAAAATCTAATCTTTTCAGAGTGAATGATTCAGCTACACTCATAGGAAGCCTCAGACATACCCAGGCTCCAAGTTAGGGGCATAGAAACATACCTTCATATCTTTTCTGGGCAGAGAGATCAGTTGGGGCATATATTTACATAAAATAAATGTTGGACCTTGTTCTTTGAGAAGATTCCCTGTGTAAAGAGGCCCTTTAACCATCAAGCCACACATCTTCAGCATGTATAGCTATTTTTTTCATGCTTTCAATGGATAATTTTGGGAGCTTGGCATGGGGGTAGGGTGGAGAATAACTTTTGGCCATCTATCCTGGAAGTCTTCTAATTGGTTGGTCAATCAGAAGAACTAGTGAAGGAAACTTGCTAAAAGCAGGTCCTTCCATACCCCGTTTCTAAACTTACATCTTGTCACCTGTAGGGTTGCATCCAAGAAAGTCAGGCAGATACTGTCTCTTCTTCTTGCATTCCAGTGTCATCACTAACTTCTTCCAACTTAGCAACCCATTAGGGGATTCTCTGTGATGAGTCATATGCTGTCAGCAGCCAGTATCTAAGAGCTTCTCATATAGTCCATTGGAAACAGAGAATATCTGTGCATGCTTCAGGGCAAGACAAGATGCACATTACACTTGTGCTTTGGGATCTGTTTGGATTTAGCTTGTCTTGGATGCTTCCATGAATATATTATTTCATCAGTCCATGTCCTTTCATCCTGTGCAGTTCTTGGAAGATCATCACTTTCCATAAATCCTCTGTATTAGAATTACCCAGGGCACTAGGGTCCCACCTTTAAATCTTCTAGCATTTTGTGGATGCCAGTGCAACTGTCCAACTACAGCTGTTGTCCCTTACTCTTGAACATACATTGCAATAGAATTCCTGACAAATCTGTTCCACTCTTAACTTTCTAAGCTTTATGAATACTTGATTCCTCCTCCACTGCTTTTCACTGTTTTTGTTTTTTGAGGTGAGGCTGTATTCTTCCAAAATTACCTTTTGCAAATGAGCTTTTATTCTAAATCAGTGTTGGCCTTAGCTACCATAATTCTCTGCTTGGCAAGTAGATCAAGCATTTGTTAAGGAAGACATTGTTAAGGAATCATTTATCCCCTTGTAATTGCTTAACATGTTAAACTTCTCTAAAAAAAGAGCAATGATCAAAGTCCATTTTTATCTATTTCCTATTTTGTGACTAATTGTTCGTTTATGTAGGCCAGGTTGGGGCTATTTATTATAACTCTCACCTTTATCTTTTCTTCTAAATTGGTGATAATTTTGACCTTTGCTCTGATTAATTTCTATTCTAACTACACACGAGACAGCTAATTCTGAATTAATTTCCATATTAGTAGCCAAACATTTCCTGACTATTAAGCTATAGCTAATTTCATTGGAAAACAGGAAGATGTTATTCCTTATTGCCCTGTTCAATACCTCCCAGCTCTCTTCTTAAATAGAGCATTCATGACATAAACATGAGGCATCTGAGTCATCTGCAAACATTTGATCTCTCCCATTTTTCTAATCCCATGTCCTATTTTACAACATTATGTGTCATCTTCACTTCTGCCCACCTTTTCAAAGAAGGCTCTGAGGATCAAAGTATATGTTGAGATATGTTTGCCAAGAAAAAGCTAACATGATCTGAGGCTGTATTAGGGGAGCCAGAATTAGGGAGATAGTTGTGCATGCTATATTCTGCTCTGATTAGACCTCATCTGGAGTGTTGTGCTCAGTCCTCAGCATCACATTTTAAGAAGGATGTTTATAGGTGGTAGCTAGGTGGTGCAGTGGATAGAACATAGGCTTTGGAGTCAGGAGGACCTGAGTTCAAATTCGGCCTCAGACACTTACTAGTTGTGTGACCTTGATGCCACCCCGATTGCCTCCAAAAGAAAAAAAAACCCAATCTTTATATACCAGAGAAGGGCAATAAGCATTTGGAGGACGTCAAGATCATACCATGCTAAAATATCAGTTGAAGAAAGTTTGGTTTTTTAGACTGGAAAAGAAAAGATGTGGGTGAGATGCAATGGTCATCTTCAAATATTTGAAGAATTGTCATGTGGAAAGTGGAACTGGATTTATTCTGTTTGTCTTCAGAAGGCAGAATGAAAATGAAAGAAGGAAATAAGCATTTATCAAATGCTTACATTTGTGAGGCCCAGTGCTATCCTCTGGGAGATCTCTCTCTCTCTCTCTCTCTCTCTCTCTCTCTCTCTCTCTCTCTCTCTCTCTCTCTCTCTCTCTCTCTCTCTCTCTCTCTGTGTATCTCTCTGTCTAGCTATTTATCTATCCATCTATCTATCCTCTATCCATCCACATACACACACACACACACACACACACACACACAGTCTCTGCCCTTAAGAAGCTTATATTCTAATGGGGGCAGACAATTCACAAAAGAGAGCTGAGAAGGGGGATGGAGAGGATGATTTTGAAGTCCACACAAAGTCAGGAGCAAGCCCAAGGAAGGCCAGCCCGGGCTCCTTCACAAAATGGAGGCTCCAAAGGGAGTTGGCTGAGGTCACTTGAGGCTGGGATTAGGGGTTGGGGTGATCTACGTCTCCTGGAGGGATATTCCACGGTGAGTCTGTCACAGGCATGGTAGAGTATTCCAAGATAGAAGAACAATGGGTAGAACGCAGAGCACAGAGGAAGATTAACTTGGCTGTAAGGGGGAAGAAAAGCTTCCCTGTTAGAGCTGGCCAAAAGCGGCATAACCCATGATACCCTCAACTCCTAGGCTGTGTCCTTCAGGGAACAACTACCTCAGGCTCAAGATACTCCACAGGTCTTTCATCCCTTAAAAACACAGTTTATGAGACACCACTGGTCTGTTTAGCTTTAGCGGTCAGACAAAGGACATAATTAGCTCAAAGCAAGAACGTTTAATGAAATGGAATAGCAAGAAAAGTAACAAATCCTTTCCCCCATAAATACCCGCAGAAATACAACACTGGTGGTAAGAATGTGTACACATAGGGATCACATGCAGAAGAGCACACAAATAAGGACCACAAGAGGCCAGGGCATGCACATGTAGGACCACACATATAGGGAATAAGTGTGGTCAAGCAACTCACTATATA